AGGGTAAGCAAACTTTGCGTGGAGTAAGATGTTCTCCGAGCTTTTCTCCCGATACCACTTCACATGATACCTTCCACCTGAGATGTTTATCTGCGTGTTCAGATAAGGAAGCCAGTCTTCGTGCGAAACTTTCCTCGCGAACAATTTCACGCCTGATGAACGCCTTGGACTTTATCCTTTAGACTTTATAGAAAGCAAAATCCTAGCCTTCGAGAATGAGATCGGTGTAGAAATATATTGGAATCGTTGCACATCCGCGAGAGAAATCCTGAGCTGAACAACCGAAATGGGTGCGTTGTCATAACAGGCGAATTCCTACCATTAATTCCTTTTTGTGGGCTTTGAGAAAACCGCGCAACTCTTGTCCAACGACCGATAATGGTGTCACATTGGTCTATTGCTGTTCACAAAATTGAGTGGGACGGCAACGTTGGTGGAGCCGCAGAAGGTTGGTTTGTCGATCTAGTTTCTAAAAGCTGTTGCAACTGGGCCAGCGCGTTTGGGCGCTTGATCGGGTAAGCCACAGATTCAGCCACAGAGCTCTGAACTGCTTTCAGGTGTTGAAGACGACAACTTGTTCGAACCGTCGACCAAATAAAGCTGTATCTACCATAACAAACCTGTGCGGCAGAACAGTGTAGAACATTATATTATTTTCTGCCTTTATGAAATACTTGCACAGGTTATGGGATAGGGCATGATAATGAAGCGCTGTAGTACTCTTCGTTTGTGGCAAAAGAAAAAAGTAGAACCAGTCGAGGAATCAGAGGCCTTAACAGCGGTCCACAAAAAAAGGCGAGTACCGCTTGAAAATAATGAAATCGTTGTTGATAGAAAAACAATTCGGCTCCTGCGACATTTCACTAGCAGTAAACGGACCGAGCTAAGTAATATACAGGAACGCATTCCGAGAAATGTTTTTGAACATTACCAATCATAACAACGATGCTGCATTGGAATCTCTTGACGCCCGAAAAGGGCAATACGAGTCTTTTATGAAAGATGGTTTTTAATTTTCCTCACGGAAAGAGTGCGTTGCAGTTAATCAATGGGAGATGTGGAGCTGATTTACAAGCATTTGGCGTACATTTTCTGCAAATTCACGTACGGGATGCAAACATCGTGCTACACCTGCGAGTTGCTTCACTTATTGCGCCATCGCTTCTCATCTGGTTTGGTAACTCCATCTCGATACATACTCGACAAAACCTTATGTCACAGGAATGTTCCGGTAACTTCGTGCCCGGGTATTGAGGATTGGCATGTGGATTTACATAGCGTCCAAAAACGCATATGTGAGTATTCATCTCATTTGTATGGTCACTGCGACCCAGCGGTCAGTGTATCCTTTCCTTTTAGGTGCACTGTAGTGTTTGTCTCTATGATGTTATGAATGGGATGCTGCTGAACGGATCCTATCATTCTTCTTCAGGCTTTTCAAATAACAAGAAGTGTTCCTTTTTATGGGTGTTTACATATAACTTTGATGGACTCAAAGAAAGGTTCATGTTAACTGAATTCTCTTGATACTTACAGTATTAAGCAAGGCGATCGACCTTTAACGGAAATTATTTAATCGCAATCGGCCCGCTTACAGTGATTTTTCGAGAGAGCATTGCGCGCTGTTCCCTGTTGTGGTCGTTGTCATCGGTTGGCTCAGCTACGCAATCTTTCTTGAGATGCAATTTCCAAATTTTCACCTTTTTTCGATATATTGCTGTCAATTTTAAGCAGGAGTTATCTGAATCTGTCCGACTTAGAAGTTGTTTGAATGAGCGGAACTTTATTAGAGTGCCTTTTTTATAAACAATCTCCTGAATGAAACAATTGTGAAAAAATCGGTTGAGCCTTAGGTTATTTATGGTCCACTAGCATCTTTTTTGTCGTTCTCGGCGCAAAACTATAGGTTTAGGCTAGCAAGTGCTTACAGTTCAATTTTTATAGTTCACGACTTGGATACACTCGCTTAACACGTGCACTGAAGGCTCTGGCCATAATTAACAGGGCCACGCGAGCTACTGGTTTTCGTTTTGTACGTCTATTATCTGAGCCTCTGTCTTAACATTCGTGTAGTGGTCCAGTTTTTTGGTCTCATGGGAAGCATGGAATTCTTGCTAGAATCACCAATAGGCGGACTGACTGGCTAGCCTGTTTAAGAAGGGTATTTGATGTGTAATAGAAAGTTTCTCCAGCTGGAATATTAACATGGTCTTCATAACCCCCGATTTTGAAACGTGTAATTATCAAAACAAACTTCTGTATGCACAATATTTTTCAGCAAGAGCGGAGGGGACTCAATTTTGATGCCTTCAGGTGACCTTAGGAGGGCGACGTAAAGCTGTCCGTGAAAAACACGTCTTCTGAAAGGTAGAAACCGATTTTGCTCAAAGATTGGCCGTGGATTTTATTAATCTACACGCTACACGGATTGGAAATTGCCTTTAAGGGTAATATTTTCTCCCAGTAAATGTCGATTCTAGGTATAATGGCTGGTTAACCGTTGCGTTCTCCACTAAGAAATAGACATCCCGAAGTAAAACGGCCCGACGTTTCAATTTTGTGCCGTGTTCTATTGCAACTCCAATGGCAACGTCTAGAGTTCTCAAAAGCTTGAGGATTGTGCCATTCTTCAATAGCAAATTGTATGGTGGCATTCCCGTTGGCGTCGATGTGTTCAAGTACCTTTCGGGTATCCAAATTTATACCTCTGCATCCGTGTAATTGATGTACTTCTATGTAGATTAGGCTGTATGTGACCACGAACACAAATTTTGAAAGGATGGCTCACTTGAGTACTTATAGGACGTTCAAAATCAATTTTGAGAAAGTACATATTCTAAGCTTGTAGGCGCCTTATGGATAATAAACTTCAATGAATAAAAACAACTCTAGACAGATATCTCGTACCTAGAGAAAATTGTAAAAGTGGCTGCGCCTCTCTGGTTAAGATGTGTCCGCAGGACGTACATGGGATACACAAAGATAGGTTGTAAAATCGCGGACATATAACTACAGAATTCCAGTGTTTGGCTGAGATTTCTATATGAATAGTGCCGATTTCCAGAGATTGCCACTTGTGAATCTCCAAATTTTATACAGGTATCGGCGGGATGCAGACCTATGTGGTTAGGATTAGTGTATAGGACTTCCAAAAATGCATATGAATTTGCAGATCTCTTTAGGGTATGCACCTATCTGGTCTTGGTTACTGTAGAGGTCTTTCAAGATTTATTCCATGAAGGTCTGAAGGTAATGTAAGTAGTGTACGTTCTCTTGTATAGAAGGGACTGCTATTGGTGAGACAATGAATACCAACGTTTACGGGACTTTACAGCCTAATTTTTGGAGCAGTTCAATAATATCTCCAGTGGTTAGACCTATTTGTATGGTCAGGACTAGTGTAAAGGTCTTGTGGAATTGGTTTCCAGAGGCTGATACATCGAGTGAGTATACATTTCATGTAGGTGCTGTAGGCGTAGCGTATGAGTTTATGGAAAGGATTTTGAAATCTGATCTTTGAAGGAGTCTAGGTAGGCCTTCCTAACGACTTCGGTCGTATCTAAAGGGTTTAGCATTTGTGCTCGGTGTTACCGCATGGGTCTTGCAAAATTTATCCTCAAAGGCTGATACGTTTGAATTCTGTGTGATTCTATAGATCTTTTCGCCGACGATCGGGTAGAGAGGCAACTCCAACCTCACAAAAACCGGCCGCGTCTCGTCCCAGTCCTCGATCACGTCCTCGAGGTCGCGCTCGTTCTTCAGCTGTTTTCCGTCCAAGAAATTTTGCATGGACCGGAAGATGTAGTAGTCGCATGGGCTGATGTCCGGCCTACACGGTGGATGCGTGACCGTCTTGATGCCCAGCCTGTCCAGGCCTGAGTATCTCTCGCTGTGTGGGCACACGCGTTATCCCACAGCAACCACGGAGACCACGGATGCACCACGGAACAAGGCGGCAGTTTTCACCTTGACCTCTTGCATTTCCTCAGAGAGGGTCTCTGCCGTCGCTTTGGCGTTGTTGGGTAGGATGCTGTAGTGGACGACGCCGTGGCGAGAGAACCAGAATGACAGAAGGCGTATTCTTTCCATGCATATTTCTCCTTGCACGGCTTGGCGGGAGCGCATCGAGATCCACCCAGACTGGTTTGTTGGCAGGATTAGAGTAGTAGACCCACTTCTCATCTTGGCAAATGAGGGAATCGAGAACCTTCCTCAGGCCTCTGAGTCTGAGGTTCTCGTAGCACACCTCAACCCGCTTCCTTGCCTGTGCCGGCGTGAGGTCGTGAGGGACAACTCGACGCTTCTTCGACACCTTGCCAGATTCAGTAAGGACTTTGTGGATGGTGGGATGGGGAACCGTGTGACCTTGCTTAAAGGCACGGTTCACGATGAAAAAGGTCACTGAGCTCATCCTTTAGGAATATTCAGCGCCCCCCATGGGTGTTAGAAGGGACCCTCTCGCTCCCACAATCTCGGCGCTTAGGGCATAGTGAAAGCCCCGTTACTGCCGTAGTTCGCTTTCCCGCCCCTCGATCGGTGTCAGGTTAGACGAGTGTCGAGACAACACAGATTGCTATTATTCGTTCTAGAACCCACGCACAGTCACCTAATCGCCGAGTGATGAGGCGATGTTTCTCTCACATTCTTTTTCCTCTGTGTTTCTCTTTGCTGCCGCGATCCCTTATTTAATTTCCTACTCCTAGAAGCTGAAAAGGGTGAGCTACTTCTGCTGTTACTAGGTTTTTCTGTTTATTTATGCTTAGAAGTGAATGAATTTTTGCTTACCATTGTCTGTTATTCGCACCAGCACCCACACGCGCGTAGTGAAACACACTGTTAAGCTCGTCCGGACGCTTCACTCTTCTTCATTTTTCTGATTTCGTTCTCGTCCAGCCCCCTTTTTAACGGTTTTTGGAGGCCTTTTTTCACTTTGGAAACACCGAAGCATGCAGTTTCTTCACCTTCATCGCACTAGTTTCGATCTTGTCTTCCATTTTTCATCAATCTGGATTACCCAAAATTATCGTGAACTGTACCTTTAAGTCGCGCAAGGACGATGTCGGTTCATCGTCCAGGGCATCCAGAATGCCTTGTCGATCAACGGTGGTGGGCGACCTCGGCATATCTTCAGTGCCATAGTTCCCATTGGTGAAGCGAGTCCACCATTTTGACATCAAGTTTTTAGATGGGGTGATATCACCAAACTGCTGTCGCATCCTGGTTGTGGCCTGGAGATGCCCAAGTTGTAGTAGTCCAGCAAACGTCGGCGGTGGTGATGACTATCACTCATCTTCACTGCTGTATTGTGGGAAGAGCAGGAAAGGAAATTAAGAGCTAGCTAGCTCAGAAGATAGCCCATCGCGAGTACTTTCAGTGCTGCGAAATTATTATGCAAAATCACAATGCGTTGCGTAACGCGACGCTGTTTACAAATGGTCAACGTACTTTATGGACACCCTAATATTATTATTATTATTATTGTTTGATGCATAAATTCTTTCCCCTGAACTTTCGTAAATATCTTATCAGCGAATTAGCCTGAAGATTAGAGGTATGCACCATCACCATCCACTGCTTGTCGCCAACGCTCAGGCAGCTTGCCGATTCCGTCCTCCCAGAAGGACGGGGCTGTGAGTAGAAGAAGTCGTCGAGTGCCTCTCTGACCTCATTCTTTGTGTCGATCTACGAACTTTCGAACGGCATTGTGACCTGCATATGCAGGGTGGGCGACTGATAGCTACTGTGAGGAAAGAGTGTTATGCACGCTCCACGTTCACATTATGGCGAAATACCACAATCCATGCAAACGAAATACGGAAGGATCAAATACGGTGAAAAAAAACTTATGCATCAGCCTAATACATGTATACAGTAGTGGCCAAGAGTCTTCAGTGAAAAGCTTTTCCAATTGTAACTTTTTTCCTACTTCATGAAATCATGCGAAATTTGGTACATTAATCAAAGGCATATCATGAATACTTGCGGCTATTAATCTGCAATTGCTATTGTTCAAGTTACGTTAGGGAGGTTGAACTTGAACTCAGTGGGAAATACACATAGCATCGAACTAATAAAAACCGCTTTAGTTCAGAACAGCGACATGTAAGACATCAAAAACATCGGTATTTGGCAGGAAAGCCTCGACTTTTGATGACAGCACCGCAATGGGAAGGCATCGGGTCGATTAGTTCTGAATGGTAGACACTGACCTTACGTTCGCTCGATTTCCCTCCTTCGCTCATTAAGCGAATTTTTTAGCTTCTTCCACAAAATTTGCTGGAAAAACGCCTTTTAAGCTCTCCCCACATGTGCTCTTTAGGTTTCAGATCCGATGACTAGCTGACCTCTTCAGAAATTTGTTCGCTGTTTGCTGAAGGCTGCTTTCACAACTATTGAGAAGTGTTTCGGATCGTTACACTGCTGCAGGATCTGTCCTGCTGGCATGCGCTGCTGTGCCCACGGCAAGACGATGTCGACTGCCATGTTCTTGTACTACTCCCTCTCATCGTGCCATCAATTTTTGAAATAGGGCACATTCCGTTCGAGGAGAAGGCACCGTATACCACCACACTCCCTCCACCATGCTTATTTGTGGGTAGGGTGTATTTGCATTGAACCTTTCCTTAGATGGTCGTCGTCCGCACCGTATACCATCGCTTTCCAACTGATTGAACTTGCCCCGTTCTGTAGAAGGATCTCCACCACGGTCAGTCGACTTCCAGTTAAGGTGACAAACTCAACTTTAGCTCTCTTACTTTTTGGACTGATGAGCGACTTTTTGGTCGGACGCCTCCTATAAATACCAGCACTGTTTAAGGATCTTCCTACGGTCTACCGACTAGCAATGGTGCCATCGCTAGCGCTGAACTCAGCGGCAATGTCAGCCGCAGTGAGGCGAGGGTCAGCACTCGACCGGAGTGTGATCCGTCTGTCCTGCGCTGGTAAAGCATATCGGAGTCTTCCCGTTCTCTAAGCATTGCAAACAGTTTCTGACCTGCTAGATGGGATGATCGAAGAAATCGACTGCCGTAGGTCCTTTAGAATTCTTGAAGGGACCGTGACTTTCATGCCCGATTTCTTCATGTCTGCTGCTGCCAGCGTGCATGACACTCTCTGAGTGACTACTGTCCTTCTGTGCATGCCTTGAGTATACAAGTACCAACGTCGAGCACTAATGGGATGCAAAAATGCATTTATCGCTAACCTTGCAATCAGAAAAAATCGCTTCTGTATTAGAACCTCTGCACCTGATCCCCCCCCCCCCATTTTGAAGTCAAAAAGTATTAAATGGTTTGGTTTAAGGTGAGGCTTAACATAGCAAAATTTTTCTTGAATCCCTTAACTGGGAAAAAATTACGATTGGAAAAGCGTCTCACCGAAGACTTGGCCGCTACTGTAGTAAGGTTACATTGAGATGGATTAGGCCCCGCCTCGTTGACTAACCTGCTATGGCTTCATGAATTCGGGATTCGAACTCGTGACCATGCACGCATGAGAGGCGCCATTTGCCATTACGCTACCTCCGATAATGGAGTGGTGTAATTTGCGGAGTCCTGGTCCATGGATGATGAAGTGGTCAGCAGAAATCGTCTTTTTCATTTCTTGAGAATTTTGAGGATTACTCTGATGGGAGGCTAGAACAGTATAGTTATCCGAAGAAAGCTGACGTCCATTCCAACGAGCCTCGCCAAAGTAAATCTTCTTCAGTGGCAGTTGAAAATGTGATGGAGAAGAAGTGGTTCGTCTGAATTTGACGCGAAGCGAATCACTAACGTCTAGTTAATAAACATTACATCACAGATAAAATTATTTGTTTCTTTCTTCTATTTTCGCAGAGGGAGCGATCGTGCCATTTATAGTGGGCGACAAGAGTGGGTGCACTGCTGCCTATGGATCATCATAACTCTTTCCAAGCCTGGTGTCGAAGTGATCTCGTAGAAGTGAACCCGAAGGCATCGCACTAATTCAATCGATGATTACTTATTCCCAACGGTAACGTCAAATACCGAACGGATATCGAATCTATAGTCCTGGTTGAGCGCTAAGGAGCAACATGCTTTCATTATTTTTAGGCATAATTCCGGACGCTCTAAGAAATGAGCGAGCTGTATTACGGAATTTGCCTTAGCTGCCTTACCGGATATCTTACCTACTGATTCCCACTTCTTGGAGTATTTAATAGATAGTTTCTTGCGTGGGGTATGCTCCAAAAACTAAAATGTGATGGAAACGACCATTACCGACTTAATCGAATCTAGAAGTCCACAATTTCATGTAAATGAAATAATGGAGCTCGCAGCTTGTTGGCAAAAATGTTTGGGTTCTCATATTAAATCTTAAAGTTCTGTTTGAGCTGAGACGTATTGTTTCGAAGTTTTGTAGACAACCTAATAAGATGTGAAAAATGTCATGGTGTCAGTGTCACTAAATGGGTGATTACGACTCATTGCGAGAGCTTAGCTTTAATCACTTAGTGCGGCTGACTTTAAATCTAGCGCCCGAGTAGTCGTAATACCTGATAGAGAATATGAATGAGTACAAAGCACATAGGGTGAGGGCGTGAAGAGAGATGATGCTCGCCCAGGAGTCTACACGGTAGGGAGAGTACTCAGCTGACGACGGCCTCTTTCTGTGTACCATTTCTGTCACATGAAGTATTTCGGTCTCCCTGAATTCTGGGTTCTCCGGTCATACAGGACTATCTAATCTTCAAGGCACTTCTTACACTTGGCTGAACACAACCTCTCCAAGGGGATGAAACAATTGGCAACCCCATGGAATAGAGTGGCTCCACGATACAGAGGTGCGAAACAATGGCATTCGAGACTTTGTAGGAGCGTGCCTTCTCATTGAGGAAATGGTTGTATCGGCCAAGGTCAGCCACGTAGCTACACTCCAGATCTTCCCACTGGCCCATTACAGCTATTTCGTTCGAAAGGCTGAGTGGAGCAGCTGAACGCTGAGTGTGTGATCCTCGGTGTTATTACCCAAGATGATGTGTAAGGGACAGATACATACATGTTTAGGAGTACTTAAGTAACTTTACTATTGAAATAATCTGTATACTCTTAGCAAATAAAAAGAATTTATATGAGAAACAAGGACCGCGGCTCCTACCACGGCTAATTCTCAGAGTAGCTTTGTAGGTGCCTTCCCATCTGCTTAACATGCAAACTTTGATTAATTCTACCGCCAAGAAGGCTAACTTCGGGCTATCCAGGTACATTACACCCGTTCTAATCAAATACCCGGTCACTTTCCTGTTACCGGCACTACTTTGTGATAGTACTGGGCATTGCAAGCTTCTTAAATGCCATAAGGTCTAGCTATGCACATTTTTTCTTTAGTGGAAAACTGCTGTGAGAGTGTTTAACTCTGTAGCATCTCTTCGAATGGGTGTTGTAAAACGTTACCTTCGTTGAGAACCTGCCTGAAATCTTTGCTTTTGTCTTCTCGGATCTTCACTTCTCTATTAGGGTTAATGTAGAAGCTTGATCAATGTGAAAGAGATAGATTAAATGGAACACATTTTGAAGGAGGATTTGATCGGGTTAATATTCTGTGCTCATAGAAAGAATTCCCTGAGTTCAAATTTACCTTTCCAAAAAGCAGAAAAATATTGCTTGGTGTTGCACAATACCCGAACAGTCGCCACAGTGGTCCATGATTGTATTTTTCTACTCTACAGGCTCGAAATATTTGTATTCCAGTCGATGCCCAGAAGCAGCAATCCGGTTGAAAGCAAACGGATCATCATGGATCTTCGAATATTATCACGAGCGTATGATTGTCCTCACATCGTCCACTCATACGGGTACCTAGTGACCGAGGTATAGAGTGTCATGACAGTTTCTTAGTAGTTCTTCATTTTTGTTTTTAAAGTGAGCAATGCTCCTATGAATGCCATGATTCGTTTTCGAAGCTACCAAAGCAAAGATTTTAAGTCTTTGAAATGAAAAGTTTGTAGACATCCAAGGGGATTGCGTGAAAACGGAAGACGCAGCCGTCTGAAAAAATGGACATTGTCTTTATCAGAAGTTGAAGAGTTAGTTACGTTGCGGCCCAATATCGTCGTCATGGCTGCATTCAGGGGAGTAGATTTTCCTCTCGAGGATGCCTCGAGGTCGGGCCGGCCGATGGAGTTGTCTCGAGGTCGGGCCGGGGAAGTCCTACGTTCCACCGTGGAGCAGGACCCGTACCTATCCATCAGGGAATC